GAATATTTTCAGGTTATCTAAACCTTCGGTCCAGATCATAAAAATATCGTCGATGTATCTAAACCAAGTGTGTTGTTGAAATGGGGCATTTTTCAAAGTATTAGCTTCGAAAAGACCCAAACAAAGGTTAGGAAAGGAAGGGGCCACTTTGGTACCCATGGCTGTGCCGTGACTCTCGCGATTGCTGTCAGCCGGGCAATCAGAGCACACGACGAAACAATGTTTGCTTATTTTTCCGGTGTTTTCATTGTTTTCCTTGCTAATAGGGCTGAAAACAGCTTTTTGAAAGGGAAATGAAGCTGCGAACTGAAAACAAGATGAATGGCAAGGGACACTGCCATTCTTAGCGATTCCGTAAGCTGATGCTTCCTCGTCTCGTGTGACTTAATTTGTTAACCAACGATAGTTTAAAGTGCTTAGACGTTTCATGTCATAAATTTCTAGCACTTGTCTCTGGCATTTAAGAACCATCAGTTTAAAAACTCAAAGAAAACGCAATTGGAGGCTTTCTATTGCGGTGTCGCTCTCGCAGTTCTTCTTTCTAATTACTTGAATATGCCATTTTCGAAATTCATAAAAAGTATATTTACAGTTAAATTTGGGGATTTTCCCTAAGCTTTAACGACCCCATCACCGTTGGCATAGAAGTTGTTTATAGTTCCTACTCAAGTTGATGGCTACTTACTAATTTCCCTTGTAGTGTGTGTACCTCATGTAAATGTGCAGTTTTCGGAGGGCTACTTAATGGTTAGGGGGCATGACAGCTCTTATGCCATTGTACGAATTTTAGATCGGAAAACGATACGAGATCCTGCGCAGCTAGTTTGTTTCTATACTACATGTATCCGGCCCGTGTCTGAATATGCTTGCCAAGTTTTCCACAATGGTCTACCACAGTATCTCTCTGAAGAGCTAGAGAAAATTCAGCGCCGCGCACTTAGAATAATTTTTCCATTACCAAGAAGCTCTTAAAGAGTGCAATATTGCCACCCTCTACCAACGGGGCCAATTGCTGACGGAGCGCCTATTCAGTGAGATCAAAGACAACAGCTGCCACAAATTACATGGCCTTTTGCCGTCATGTAATCTTAGTACCATAGCCTTAAGGAAAAAGCGCGCTTTTAACGTACCTTTCTGCAGAACAAATAGACTAAAGAATAATTTTATCATGTACAACGCGGCTATTTCCAAATGGCTTTATCACGTATAATGCGTCTATTCCTTAAATTTCACTACGTATAATATATATAATATATATCAATAGTATTTTTGCTCTTTCGTACATGAATTTTAATATATATACATATGCAGTATTTTTAGCCTTTTTTTAATTAGTTTTTCATTCTTTTTATATTTTGTATTAAGTAAACATTTGTACAGTCCGTAATTCAGCCTTTTGGCTGCAATGGATTTTTTAATAAAGCTATCTATCTGTTTGCGTGAAATTTATGAAAATTACGGTGATAGTAGCACCTCCATTGTTTCTTAGTTGCAGATGATAAGGTGGGCATCCCTCAATCAGATGACAGGGTATCCCTCAGTTTTAATCAAGTCTTAGGCGCGATAAGGAGCCAATGATCGGGAAACGATTCCACATCCCTCTCTCGAAAGGACACATGACGTGAGTATGTCTCATTTCCATCTATCAAAAACGTAACTGCCGGTGCACAGCACATCCAAAGGAGAAATTTGAAAGGAGTGGGGGAATACGTATTTGATTTGATTGTTTTGATTTGTTTGTTTGTTCATTGTTTATGCGAGCAATCGGATTTATATCTCCGTAGCGCCTGACTTGACGGTATGAAAGGACAACGATTCATTAGCTCGAGAATCACAAGCTATTTATTCTTCGAAATAAATGA